AACACCGTAATCGAGTTTATCGGGCAGACTAATTAGAGAGCGAGGATACGGGGAATAGAGCCCGAGGGAGACACCGAAGGGCAGAGATCGTCTATGCCTCGACGTTCTTGTCCTTACAGTGTCCTAATTGGCACGAACATTCCGAGTGTACGTAATCGGTAGCACATCCGTTGCTTCGCTTTCCGCTTTGCGACTCGTTATTGCTTCCGAGCTTCGCGTCTGTGTTGCGTACGTGCGACACGTGTGGCCGTGTTTCACTCTATGAAATACCTCATTTTCAGAGGAACTCATGCGTTCGTCACATACAGTAACGAACAAAAGTATTGGCTCAGACCAGATTTTCCTATGAAATTCTGTGGAAATTTCTAGAGCTCGTTCAGTTTTGTTTTTTTTTTTTTTTAATACAATATAACTTCCGAGTTTCGAGTTTAAATGCATATGTATATCGTATCTCAGAAACCGTTCATGTTTTTCTTTTGTTTCAATCCATGAATCAAATTTCCGAGAGACATCAGTTATTTTGTCTATAAACCGTGTAAAAGTTAGGCAATTCTTGCTTCACAGCTTTCCTTACGTTCTTCGTAATTTGTAAGACATTATGTTGGGGGATGCTAATGATTTCGAGGATAGTTTTACCTCTGTCTTTAAACTCAAATGGCCGCCGTTTAACGAAGATACGTGTACCTTAAGTTTGCCTCTTCAGCGAACAACGCAAAGTTTCGTCAAAATTGACGTCGAGCATGCTCCATATTCCTTGTTAAACTTAACATCGAGTTTAACACAAAAATAAGACGATTTGCGTTTATCGTTTTATCACATCTCTCGTCGAGACGAAAATCTAATCTTTATCTGTCTTAAGGTTTCGATTAAAAATTACAAATCCAAAGAAACTATGTATTTGTTTTCAATCGATCCGCGAGATAACAAATAATTCTATTTTCGTGCATGTCGTTCTACATTTGACGACCACGACTTCTCGATACTTCTTCCACGTTGATAACAGTCGTTTCGAAGATTAATTCCTGAACAGGATTAATTAGAACTTCCCCGAGATTTGATTCAGCGTGACTTCGAAAATCTCGGCGCGGAAACAACTTGGTTTCGCTTAATTTTCCGTCGCCGTTCCCGCTCGCATAGTCCAGCGAAACGGGCTAAGATTTAATCTAGAGAGTACCAAGTAACACGGCTTACTCGATAATTCCCAACAAAGGGATAAAGCTGAGCCTCTCCCACCAAGCTGGTATACCTCGAAGAACCTGTGAAAGGGTTCCCAAAGTCTCGGAGCAATTCGTCTCGTACTGTTTCTCATTAGACGGCCGAACGTTTTACAGTCTCGTGTATAGTAAAGGTACACACACTGATCTTCGATGGTTTTTTAGCCAACAAAGAGGCTCGAGTAACCGCCTGCTGCTTTTATTACACCACCAACCGATGAACACCGTTATTGACGATGCTAAAGGAGCATCGGCAGATTGGGAGTCTCTTTTATTCTTCTTGGAGTATGCTTGATCGATTCGAGAGTAAACAGAAGAGGATGTTTGACTATATAGCCAAGTTGAATAGTAGAGCACGGTGATAATAAAGCAATCGAAATTTTTAATTTCTAATCATTAATTTCTCCTGTGCTCTTTCATTTTAACATCTTTTTTCTTAAGACGATCTTTCTCTTTTATAAATTTGTATTCCTTGATTAAAAACATTTGTCGATTTTTACAAGTATAAAGTGCAGTGGATCGTCTGCCGCAATTTAAATATAAAATTATAAATTAGTACTTTTAGTATCTATGGAACATGAATTAGATAACATGTGTTTGAAAAATCGAGATAAGTTCGATACATATTCGCAAAGTTAGCTGCTACCTCGTAAAAACACGATACTCCCTGTTCTAAAAAAGAACGAGATAGTCCATTTTACCATAAAACCGCTATCATCGAATCTCATAAACAGTTTCATTATCGAGAAATGCATAAAATTTGCAAACCATACGATAATAACGCAACTCCCTTTACAAGAGAATTTTTCACGATTATTATTCAGGAAGCTGAGATCGTTTCAGGTGCTCTACCTTTTTAAACTAAGATATAACAAAAATGTTAATGCATAGATAACTTTTAAAATGACCAGAAATATCAAGTCCGCGTATCGTCGCCTCTGCTTTTTTTTTTATATTTGAAGTTGTAACGATACTAGTAGTTGGTTATGGCGAACGTCGTTGCCTCGTTGGTTTTATTGCGCGGATGTTGCATTATGAGATTCTGCGGATACGACCCTTATAAGTCGTAATGTTTTATGGAAATAGCACATTGCGTTACTTCTCTCAGTTGTCACCGAGAGTCACTCCTAAGAAGGTATGCGAACGATCAAATTTTTTATGTCGCTTTTCAATGATTTAATAAACGGTCTGTAAGTCAGGTTTAAAAATAGGAAATTGCGTAAAAAGACCGCTACCAAGCTACGTAAATTTTTATCGAAACGGTAAATTTTATACGAAACGGTTGTTTAACATAGTCGTGACAACCATTAAACAATTATTAATTAGATTAACCAGGAATGAGATGAAACAATTGTTTAAAATTTAGAAAATTTGTAACATCAGTTCGTGTAAATAACTTTGCTATTTTTAATAATGAAGTAGATGATAATAACGACGGCTACCGTTAATTATCGTATATTCCGTCATGAATTATTAATTAATTGGAAATTTAGTTATTGATTATCAGAAGCAATTATATTTAGTTTACAATGTACCGATCGAATCAATTCAAGTTTTCGCATTGATGTAGTTGCAGGGATATTTGATAGAAAAGCGTAGAAACAATAATTAGGGAGTACGAGGAACGAGTACAACTGAGAAAATTTCTATCGCGATAATCTCATAGTTCGTTAATAATTTCGTCGAGTAAATTGAACTCTCGGTCACAAAGTTTACCGTCTACTTTTCTTCATTTCGCCCGATTTCAAGAAACGATTAAAATAAGTCCAATCAAATCATTGATATTATATCGTAGCCAATTAACGCTGGACTACTATGCACCTTCTCGAACTTACATACATAAAAAAATCATTCGTTTACTTGTCTCCGCAAGTTCCACAGGCGTCACACAAGATATAATACCACCTGAGAGAAATCAGAATTCTCGATATCATTAATCTCGGGCAAACACACGCTCGGCAATAACACCATCGCGTCGTATGCATATATACTATTCTAGCTGCAATTAAGACGGAGCGAGCATCTAATAATTCAACGTCTGCCGGTAATTCGGGTCTGGTGACATTTTCCTCGATTTTGGTGGCACATTTCCAGATCTCTTCTTATTCTTCCGCAAGCTGGGTGGAATGTCATCGGTAGAATGAGATTGAAAAGAACGGGGCAAAAGGTGATCGAAGGGGTGGGTGCAGGGCAAAATATCGTCGCCTTTGGAATTTAACGAGGGACAAAGGTATCGCTCGACCTCCAACGTTCCCGATGGGAAGTGCTGGAGGTTGAAGCACCCTCAAACGGGTCCGTCAATTTCCGTGCTCGTTAGGTGGGTATTTATTCTCGCTTTTCCCGGCCGTCATGCACCTTATACCTTACACCCATACCCTTTCTATTTTACCTTCGTCGATTGATTTTAATTATTTTTCCGCCTCCTGTCCGCCTATGGATTTCTCATGGCATCTCTCCGGTCCACGACATGTTCACGACGGATTCGATTAAATTTAAAAGCCAAAACAGCCGGACGAAAGACAAGAGATCCCATGGTCGACTGAGAATCTTGTTATATGGATTGCTGTCACCTGATTATACGCGAATCTAGAGTATAGATCTCCTTGGTTTTTTTTTTATTTTTGATCTTTTCGTTCTTTCAGTTCTTTAGGATGTAGTCCATTCTTGCGTGGATCAGAGTAATGTGTCAGAGTAATCATTTGCTCGTTTGAAAATATACGAAAATTTATGAATAGTCATTTTTGTTAGGAACTCTTTGATTACACCGCAATGATTTCACCGTAAAATATTTTCTACGCGTGATCAAATATCAAACACAGAAATGTGATGTGAACATTCGAATGGTTATTTCCAAGTAGCGAAGGAACAAACGAGTGTTTGTCTGACAGGTGATGTCGTGATCAGTTGCGCCAACGATTCGTTAGCTGTTTGGCCTGTTTCGACGATACGCCAGTGTATACATACGTGACCGAGCTGAAAGAAGATCGATATACGTGCAACATGGAAAGAATGTCTCTACGATTGTTTTCCAAACTGAAATCTTCGTACATAGATCATTCAGTTCCAACAGAATGAAGTAGAAGATAGAATTTGACAAAATATTGATATGGTATGAAAATATTGATATAATAAAAGAAATGGAAAAGAAGCAAGAGTTTCTCGGTTAACGAATAGAGGAAATTGTTCGATTATTTAATCGACCAATCGTTAATTTCGACCATTTTGAAATACATTGCTAGATATGATACGACGTTATTACTTTATATTTCTATTAAACATGAAATTTACAGAATAAGATAATTCCTGCGAAGCTATATTTCCAGTGAGTTTTGTCCCGTATATTTCGAGCAAAGATACGATAAATTTTAGAAAACCTGGATTATTTAAAAAAATTGAAAAAGAGTGTACTTAAATTTTTAGTGATATACGAATAATATTTCATCGACTAAAAATCTATGTCGGATTATTAAGTAATTCAATGTATATTCCTCTAAAAACTAAATCTCAGCTTCCATTCATATGTTTGCAAAGCATTTAGTCCATATTAAGAAAGTATTTAAAAGCTATTACTGAAACAAATATTTTTCACTGATATACAACACGATCCTCGATTTCCTTTTTCAGATTGCAGATTTATCGATATAAGGGATGGAAATGGAATATAGAGTACGAAATGCAATTAAAAATTCGTTTTCAAATCGTAAAAAATATATTTTAAAATGTATTATGCTCACTGATACAAGCGTTGGTTATACGATGAAATATTAGAAGTACGCGTATCAATACTCCTAGCAGTCTAGATATTATAGACATATTTTGTAAATACGCGAAATTCTTACGTGTGGCTTTTCTATCATTTCAGCTTGTATTGTGTCAAAGAATAAAGAAACATGCGAATGATATTGTAGTTACATCGTAGGCTGCATATGTCACAGAATACTTTCTAGAAAAACTGCGATAGCTCTGAGAATAACGTTATATGATACGTGGAATTATTTATTAAAAGAAAAGGCTAAGTAAAAAATAATACATCTTAACGCGTTGGACCGAAACAGAGTGGACAGAGTTCACGATGTCGATGGCACTTAACTCTGTAAGCATCTACCATTACTCTTTTTTTTTTGTTCCGCCACTTTCCACGTGATTTCATAAATTTCTTTGGACTTATGTCCTAACCAAGCCATTAATTAAAAGCTACTGGGTATATTCGCGCATGTCTTTTCTAACAGTAAAGTATGTAGTATGCATCTATAGACAATATGGTATCCGTTATTATACGCTCTATCAACTTTCCGAGCAATCTAATATTTTAAAAATTGTATGTACGCTAATGCCACGATGTAAGCGAGATATACAGGGTGGTTGGTAACTGGTGGTACAAGCGGAAAAGGGGTAATTCTACGCGAAAAAAGGAGTCGAAAATATAGAATAACAATTTTTTTTTTTAATTTTTCCATCGAGACAACGATCTACAGTGAGATCCGTTATAACGAGACGCGATAAAGTGCACGCGTACCGAGCGCAAATTCAAAGTCGATTTTCTCGAAAACAAGGCCTCAAACGAAAAAGTTTTATTCTATATTTTCGACTTCTTTTTTCGTGTAGAACAATCTCCTTGTCAATTTTCCATTCCTGTCCAGTGGGATTAGACAAATGCACGTCCGTTCGGTAACTTTTCAAACTCGATTTTCCCGGAATTGAAACCTCCGAGGCAATTTTGTTATTCCTGACTGTGCTCTTATTTCGTGCCATAGAATCCCTCTAATTTCAATCAGCACAGCACGAGTTGAGGACCATGTTATATACACGAGGGAACCGAAAACGAAACAAGACTGATTTATCAGCTATTACATACCTCGGACAAGGAGTCCTCCATCATATCGCTGGTATCTCTCATGACTCCCAATGGAAACTAGCACCGACAACAATCACTCAACGCCCACGTTTTATCCGTTTCCTCCTCCGGGCCTGTATCTTTCACTGTCTCTGTTATACGTTCCTCTCTGCCAGTTACCAGCTACCCTGTATACGAGATACAGGTATGTATACATACTTCTATCCTATGCAATTGCTGAAATATCCAATGAAACCTGGACAACCTGTACACTCGTTGACATCTCTAAAGCCGCAGACTAACCATCGCGTTTTAACATTTTTCTCGCGACCATAAACATCGTATAACGAATTGCGCTGGTCCACAAACTCGACCCAATTCCATCGCAGGTAAATCAGTAAACTCGCGAGGCTGTGGAGTTTGCCGATAGCAAACCGTTTCCCTTTCCTGTCCCGTTCCCGTCATCCTTCTCCGTTCCTCGTGGTCATCCTTTTCGTTCTCAACGTTCCTTGTTTGCTCCTTCTTCTCTACCTCGTTCTCTAACCCTTTCCATCGACCTACCTCCCGACGATTAACTCGAGTTTTGAGTGTTTGGAATGCCGAATGAGTAAACTGCATCTAGTCACGTGCGCCAATGCAAGACGCGATCTTCTATCTCTCTTTGCCATGGTGTTGCGTTTTAGTTCGAGCAATCGGTCTCGAGTTGCATCGGCTTTCACTCGAATATGGAGAGAACTTGCGAATGCCTTACGCCAGTCGAGATTTTAACTTACGTGGGGTTGCTTGCTAAATGGCCCGCATGAGCTTTAACTCCCTTAATTGCTTCGGTTGTATGTTGGATCGTGGAAGCTTATCGCGTTTGTTGAGGAGCATCATGGCTATAAGGTTTGAATGTGCCTACGTAGAGGAAGAGATCGGAGGATTTTTGAAGATTGATGCACCGATAGGATTAATACGCAATTTTCAGTTTCAACGATCGAACGAAGTATTTGACATTTAATGGTTATAAATATTTCAAAAAGTTGATAATTAATAAAAGTATTTAGAAATGGCAACAAAGTGGTTCGATAATTCCCACTAGATATAAATATCGACACGACAATAAAACATCGAGGAGAATGGAAGAATTCCTTTTCATTGAGGAAAAATAAATCTCGAGGACTAATAACACCCAAGCAATTATTGGTCAAGCTATTCCCCTGAGCTATTAGCTAAGTTATTGGAAAACGAGGGGAAAGTTTGCACTGGTAGAACCTATCCGAAGAAAAGGTTACATCTACCCTTATATGAGGAAAGGAACGACAAAGATGAACTTTCGATCGACAAGAAATAGTTAATAGTTTATTGGCATTGACGTTCTTGACTGATCGTTTCACAGTGAAACTTTCAAAAATTGAAATATTAATATTTTGATACTTTTTAACACCATTTCTAGATTTATAATGCACGACGCGAGAAGATAAGAGGAATCGTAAAATCAACTTAACGAAGATACATGGTCGATTTACTTTTAGCTTTCCTACTTACATCGTTTCTTCGTCGATCCTTCCTTTTAATCTCTTCTTTCGAAAGATCAGAAAAATGTCAGCCTTGTCATTCCGGATCATATATAGCTGTTTTTGCTTCACGCTGGATCGGATCTCCGTTGCTAACGAGCGACCAGGGACGGTGATCTTTTTTTGAAAACAACGATCGGTAACGATCCAACGAAGATGGTCCACGTAACACGACGGGAGAAAAGAAACCGAACAGAAAATCAGACGGATTAATGGATCCAGCTTGGCTACTACTTACGCTCGTTGCCTCGCTTAATTTTCTTCTTCCTTTTTATGGCATCTCTTGCCGTATGGAAATATCGTCAATGACAGGATTTACGATCGTGCTTTGATTCTAAGAAATCGACGTACAACGGCTTACAAATACGATGAGAAAGTAAAAGTAATTGAAACTCGTGTCTATTAAAATCTACGTATTAACGGAGAAAATAAAAATTGAAAACAACGCGAACGAGCTAGATAAGTCGAAAATGACAATACCGGCACTACATTGAAATAACGATTTTTCTTGTTTGACTATCTTCGTATTAGCAGAAGCCGCGTGCACGACGAGTATCGTCGCATTAAAAAGCAAGCAGAAGAAACATCTGAAAGCGGTCCTCGAGAGAGATTTCCATGACTATAACCAGGCTACCGCATCGTTCATAGACCCCTTTCAAGGTGAGGTTCGTTTGCATTTGGTGAAAAGGGTCCATGATTTTGCCTTACGAACAGGGACAAATTCAAATTTAACGTTATTATACAGAAAGTAATATTATTACGCGTTGGCATGCATCGTCGCGGAAACAGAATTTTCTGCAGCTTCCAAAGTATACAGACGGAAGATTTAAAATACGATAATGATGGGAACACGAAAGAGCTATCGCATACAGAGGACCATTGAAATCCGCTTTTATCGTAATTACTACCGCGAACTCGATGATAATGTGAAAAATAGCTTATTACGTTGACGATGATAATTTTCTTTGTTTTCGTTTTCGCGGGGTTTTCAATGCGCTGTAAATACTGTTCGCAATGATATGCGATTCTATCGAGTATCTCACACACACACACACACACACATTTGTTTTATATAAATAGACATGAGTATAGATTTCTAAGATTTCTCAAATGTGGCAATACTTTTTTTGGATATCGCGATTATTTTCGAATTTCATTGTGCCAGTAACAGAACAATTTCAGCAAATCCCGCCTGTAAATTCAGATACTAGAAGTTTCAGGTCATTCGGCTCGGTATTCGAACTCCTTCCAAGTCTATTTTCTTCCGCGTGTTTCCGGATAGCAGTACGCATATGGTCACGGGAATGCGTCGGTAGGAAATGCGGACGCGCCTAATCAACACGGAGTGGTGCACTTCTCTGCACGCTGAACGCACGTGCAATAGTTCTAGGGAATTTGGGACAAGTCCCATACGCACACATGGTGTCTGGGATTGACATGAATGTGTTCCATGGAGCGTGAGTGAAGCGCCAGAGAGTCGAGAGCACGAGGCTTTGACACCCATTCTCTGATTAGCTGCTTTAGCCGGCTCATTCTATTTGGTACAGGACCGCTTAAATTGGCGAAACCGTTGCTCCGATTAGACGTAGGAAATATATTTTTCCAGCCGATGCAGTTTTCCAACTGATCGTACTTCGTTCAACGTTATTCCGTTAATCCATAATTCAACGAGCAAACCGTTCGCTCGAATGTGTACTTAATTAAATAATAGCAATTAATTAATAATGTAACGATAATGAATTTCTGGCTAGATATAAATTAATTTGAGGTTAAACCGCGTTGTTTCGTTAAGCAATTTTATGGGTCTGTACGCAAGCGGAGTACGCCTTCATTTTCGTCAATGTTGGAAAACATCGCTATAGGAACAGATATTTTCGATCTTGTACGCATTCAGAAATAAGGATCGTTCTACGAAACGAATATTTAGTTGGTGACGATGATATATATCGCCGAATCAAAAATACCAAATATAAAATTAATCTTCGAATTTATACCCCTTTATAAACGGTTTACAGATGCATCAATGCAAAGCATTTTGTGCGCGAAAATTTTTTATCGAAAAGAAATATGAAATATCCCCAAAAAGGATTTTAAATATCCCATTCAACGGAATGGTAAGTTTCTCCGTTTAAACGAATCCATCGACGCGCGAATTTAAAAACTACATACACCATGGTTAAGGGGAAACTAATATTTTTAACAAAAGATCAAAAATATTCCTCGTAGTGAAACATGGAATATTTTTCAAAAAGGAATTATAAAAGTGTAAATTCTGCTTGTAGAAAAATTCATCGGTATAAAATAGTTGAATATGTACATACATATATGTATTTGTATAGAAACACGTATCTTACGATTAAAGGAAGAATAAAACGATCAGAGAAACTTTACCTTAATAAAGCGATAATATCATATACTAAGTAATATATGGTGGAGAATTAACCGACAAATTCTTCAGAGAATATATAGGATTTAGTCTCAATTAGACAACGCCTTAACTTTAATTCTTCTAAAAGATAACTTGCATAAGCGCTTCACAATAGTCACAGACTAGGTCCATAGCTGGATCAATCGTGCTACGTATCGTTACTAAAAAACGTTTTAAATAGGATAACAACGCGTTGGAAATGCGATTCCAACCATGGAATCGCTATTGCTAATGAACCATCAGCTGTCGAGAAATACAACTTTGTTCTCAAAGTCCTTTTTTAAAAAATAAACCGTCCACCCCATTACAGAGCCGCCGTATCGCGATAGTTCCTAAATACGACGTTATTTACTTTTTAACCCGGTAGCTTCCACCTCCTTCCGGTCGCTTATTACAACGGTTACGAACGTTCACTGGGAAGAATAAACAATTTTACGGTAAAACACGAGGAAATTAACGAGGAATCCGACGTTAAAAAAGCGTGGGTCGTGAAAATTCTTCACCGGGCCGCGAACACGTAAAGACCATATTAACGGAATTAAATTCTTGCTGTGAGGGAGGGTTGTTTCAACCGAGGGAAAAACCCTATTTAACCGACGTACTCGTATTTTAAGACCAGCGTGTTCTATAGACACACGGTGAAATATTTCACATACACTGAAATAATATCGAGTTCATTTCATTGGACGTACCGTTTGATAACGCGAGTGGATCTTAATTGTGAACGGAAGACTTTTGGAAGTTTAATTAAATGTCGAGGGAACGTATAAAATGTGTTTGTGCAACATACATCGATATCTACCTTTCGTGAAAATTTGTTGAAAATGAGATAATGTTTAAAGGGTGGTGAAAAGTCGTGGTTTCGAAACTCACTCTGTGTCTTTCTTTATAATATACATCGATCATATACGATAAAAGAGGTGAATTTATCAATGTTAAACAATGCCGGTAACTTCGAACGATGTAACGTATTGATATGACCTGTTTTGAAATCTAGTCTCCTTTTAAAATGTTGAACGAAATTATCGCGGTACTAACGATATATGGTTCATTCGTGACACAAAATAATCGCAATGCAATGCATTACGTAATTGTGTTAGTTACGAGGTTGCGTGGTTATTTGTTAATGGTTAACCAAATTACGATACGAGACATTTACGAAAGCCATTTCTGCTTTAGTAACTAACGAAT